CACCGCGCATGGCCTAATTCCGATATTTTTTGCGCTCGACTAACTATAACTTGGTGCCTATCGGTAACTTGTGGTTGGCCCGTGGCCATGGTCACAGTTCGTGTCACTTCCCGTGATACCTTTCCCACTGCACGGCTGCGGCTTTCCACATTGTGGAGTTGTACTTGGATTTTTTCCCGCTCTCCTTCCGATGCTTTTTTCACATTTCCCCCTTACCCGCTTCGTTCAGTGCACGGTTGCTATCGGCTCACTCGTCTCCCGACCAGTTCTCTTTTCGGCTGTGGGACGTTTGTGGTTGGCAGGTGGAGGGAATATTGCAGCGGCTGACCCTGGTGGAAACACTCATGGCCGCACCCCCGAAGGGGGGAGGTGCCGCTAGGCGGCTGCAAGGACGTCTGGTATTGATAGCTGCCATCCTGGCGGCTGCATTGATGTTTGGTATCGGTGTAGCTGCCACTCCTGGCGGCTGCACTGATTCTCGTGTTTCTGTAGCTGCCACTCCTGGCAGCTACACCGGCGTCTAGTATTGGTGTAGCTGCCGCTCCTGGCACCTGTACCACTGCCTGTCTTCTGAGGGCAATGAAACGTGTGTAGCGATCACTCTGGTTGCTGCACGTAATACATGCGATACATTTTCCACGAAATGGTATGTGTGTAACTGCTGATCACGCGTCAAGCAGCAGAAACGTGCGTGACATTGCTTCCTTGCATTTTCACATATTGCAAGCCATCAGTTTGTTCACGCCCTCACCGTTATCGTTGCCTGTTGTCCTTACCCTGTCCGGTGCTTTGCTTTGTTAAGCTCTATACCCGGATCTATGCTTGCTCTTTGCTGCTCAGCTGTTTCACATTAGTTTGTTGCTGTAGTGCACACTTTGAGGCTTGCGCTGCCTTGTGTCCACGTGTGGCACTCCCCCGATTTGACGCGTCCTCCCTTGCGGTTGGACACATGCCGCCGCAAGATCCATCAAGTTTTTTTTGTAATGCCAGGCGCCGTTAGGGGTTCTCCCTACCGCTGACGTTGTTGTGGTTGTGTTGGTGGCTTGCTTGCCAACCCACCCACGGACACGTCTCTTGCCGTGCTGACGCGTGGTCAAGTTTGTTTTGCTGCCGCTCTGTTCACGTTCAGCGTCACGTCGTTTTCGCTGGAGGCGTGTTTCAACGATAACTCCTGTGCCAGCGACGTCATTGGCGTTCCGACTCCGATGCTGACCGTTCGCGTTTTGGTAGTTGTTGCTCCCACCGCCTTGCCCTCCGCCTGCCACGTGCCTTTCCAGGTGTGGCGACTTGTGTCCTTCACATCTTTCTTTTTTGATGGAGGACTTGGAGCCTTTGCTGGCTTGGCCACCGCCGGAGCCGCAAACATCCTGGACAGCTGCTATGACGCGAACAGAGCGATGGCTGTGCTGGGAGCTGGAGCTGCAGTGCCACCGGAGGATCTACGCCCACACCCGCTGTGGTGACTGTGCGTCGACCCCCGTTCTCAACGTTTTTCATTTTTTGCCCCAGGAGTGCAGTCACTGCTAGATTGACCTCCACCGGAGCCGCACACATCGAGGACCGCCGCTATGACTGCGGACATGGCGAGGGCTGCGCCGGGAGTTGGCGATACAGTGCCGCCGCAGGGCTATTTCCCCGCCCACCATTGTGACTGTGAGTGAGGCGAGGACAGGCCGGAAGGTGCGTCCGTTAGCTATTGGAATAGCGGGGAGGGTGCTGCCTTGTGCGTGGGGGTACCTGGTCGCGCGGCCATTCGAATGCAAACCAGCGCTTCCAGGGCGCAGAACCTGCAAGGCACATGTACCCGCCTCGTGCATGACACCCACGGCATGCTAGAGAGATTCCGGTTCTTGCATCCAACGTTTTGCCAGTTGGTGGTTGATGAGTTCTGCACGCCCTGACAGGGTAAGCCCGATGTCTCTCTCCAGTAAACCCAACGTTTCTCTCAATTCTCTCTCAGTGTTCATGCATTCTGTCGCGTAGGGGTGAGATGGTAAGATTCCGTAGAAACCTGTCCATCGCAGTGTACGCGGCCGCTAAAGAACCTTGCCCTACTACTTCAACGCGACGTTACGACCACCTGTTCGCGAGCCTAACGCCTCTTCTTGCTTGGCCCTCCGGGCCTTGTTTCCCGAGGAGCTTTGCCCTGTGCAAGACACGCTGCGCTACCTGTAGAAACCGCTTCGATATTGAGACAGGACGTAAATTAGCAGAGAGCACCCTCGTACCGTTGGAGACGACCGCGGGTGGATGCTTCGACTTCAGCAAGGGGGGATGTCGCGCGGCCGTCACAACACAGCTTCCCGGGGACCGCGGGGTATTGCTTTCAGCAAGGGGGGAGGTGCCGCGGTCACTGGAGCACGGCTGCCTGAGGGCATGGCGGAATACCCGGACAGGATCGGATGCCATTAGAATGTCATCGGCACGTCTCCCACAACAACGGCAACGAGGCGACGCACACAAGGGGCAGGTTTGCACAAGTGTCGTGACAACAGTCGCAGGGTTGGGGGGACACAGAGATACAAGGTGTAAGGGTACCAACCAAGTAGGCTCGTGCGAAGGCAAGAAGTTGCCAGCCACCGCGGAGTCCATGTCAGCCGACACAGTCGTTCGGCCACACACATGCACGACCACGCAGGGATGGAAGTGACCTTGTGTTTGATATGCTACCGTTGTCACTAGCCCACGTTGGCGAGATGCATTGGCAGTTTGTGGTGGTCATGTTGCACTGCGGATGTCGAAGGAAGAAGAGATCGTTACCCTTTCTCCTCACACAACCCCTATCGAGTGCGGGTAGTAAGCCCGTCCCTTGCACGTCCATAAAGGCTCTCCGTGGCGCAGCGCGTTGAGACATCGACAGCGTCGTGGAGCTTCGCGAGTATGGCGGGTGTACGAGAAGGCGCAGACGTGATCATGCGAGATCTACCGCCGGTGCAGCCGTCAAGCAGGGAAGTGTGGTGTAAATACGCTGGTCGATGTCTCAAATACAACACGTGCCACGAGCTTGCAACGCTGCGATTGTGTCTCCTCGTTATCGCCTTACCTCAATAGCGAGTTGGTCCGTTTCGCCTCTAAATTGGGATAATTTCCGAGTACAAAGGGGGATCAGGAGATGGAATAGTGTCTGAAAGTGCCGTTGGATAACTCCACCGCGCTGGCACGTGCACAACCTGCGATTACCCATTTCACCTCTGCCTCAATCAACCCCCATGCTCCGCTGTCTTGCTCCGACCCCCGGAGGTGTGTCGCCGGTTACGTATCTCTTTCTGGGAGCAAGGGATTTCCGTCTACCGCCTTACTGACGCATGTGCTGCAGGTATCAGAATTGGGAGGAGTTTATCAACCGAGTTGGAGCGAGCGACTCTCGACATAATTGTGGACAGATGGCGACGGACGGAAAAAGGCGTTATGTCAGTTGTCCTCGTTTCGGGGAGGAGTGGTTTCATCATCGTTGAGTGTGCTATTGCATTCCCTCAGAAGGCGGTAGTGCGTAGGGTTTCCACCTGTTACGCGTGTTGGAGTCAGCCGTTCTCGGCTGCCTGCAGGCATGCGTCCGTTCATCTGCTCGCCCGTTAGGTTTAGATGCTGTGAGTCATGGATGAAGCGATCGTCTATAGTCGGGTGCCCGAGTGCGATACATTGGTTGTTTCTGTCTGTTTGCCCCGATGTTCGTAGCCGTGTTGTGAACTCAGCCGCAAGGAGTGAATGTGCGCGATTATGCGGTGTCTTGAGATGATAGGGCTGATACCTGGGAGTTCGGTCTGGCTGACCACGGCTTCGAGGTGTTCGAGTGCCACTGCAGCGACCTGCGGTCTAGCTGCAGTGCAGGTTTGGTGTTGTAGGTGCTTTCGCAATGGGCTTTTACATGGGTGGCCAGGTTTTTCCCGCGTTGTAGGTGATGAGGGCCGGGCTGCAACTACAGTGAATTCACCAAGCGAGGGACGTTTATTAAGAGAATTTTACGTCCGAATGTCACTTGGTGTTTTCGGTTGTTGGTCTAAATTCTTGGGCCATCGGGATGGGGAGCGAACGGTTTCCCCGGACACCGGGTTTACGTTCGCGCAAGTCGATGTCGGGCCGTGGTTCAACGCGCAGTGAGTATTACGAGAGGAGTGGGTTTTATTTGGGTTACCACCTACTCACCTCTCGGTATATTCGGTTGAACGTTCAATCCACTCAAAGGCATCGCATGGTAGTTTTTCAAAAGGAGGTGCGTCACCTTGCGGTTCCCGCACTTCCTGCTACCGTTCATCATGTAACAGCTGACAAATAGCTGTTCATGCAAAGGGGGGATGTTACGGTTAAATAGTTACGGTTGCATGGAGTTGCATATTTTGGGAGTTAGCGTTGTTACCATAGGGTGGTTGAGAGTTCTGTACATTTGCTTTAATAGGAGCCGAAATCAAACCATTAGACTAGTCAGCGCTGACTCGTCTAAAGGTTTGATTTCGGCTTCGATAGGCCCCTTGTCTTGAGCTCGTGCCAACACACGAGCTCACTCCTCTTGTTTGAACTCCAGTTTGAGCATTCCAGTGCTTATCAATAATCAAAGTGCAAACCGTATCCACGACCGGAGACCTTCTCTACGTTCCACAAGCCACCTACGAGGCGTACACTACCGCCATTCAAGCTCGTCCACCGAAGCGGTACCGATCGAGAGGCTGTTGGCGAAGAGGTCTGAATAATCATGCATGCATGCGGAACTTATGGTCTCTCTCCCTTGAAATGCTCTCTTTGGCCATTTCGGGGTCCTGGAGCGATGTCCTGAGACCGCCGTTGCTACACCTCAACTAGCAACATGATCCATCCAAAACCGTAGCCTCTCCATCTATTACAGTAGCCGGGTTTTGAAAAATATCGGTCCCGGGTGTGTGTGCGCTTTCTCCACGGAAAACTCCTACCACAACGCCATTGTGCCGGGAGTAGTTCGACGAAGTCCGTCGCAATCAGTTATTGCACGGAGGAAGAGAGAGCACCCGCAGCGCAAAGGCTATGGGGAGCTAGCTGTTCGCGCAGGAATCGCGGGTCCCTTCTGGGTTCTTTCCTATCAAACGCTGCCGCACAGAACCCACGAGGTTCGAGGTGTCGGAGAGGTGCACGACTCATGCTGCTGCAATAAGAACCTAAGAGGTGCGAAACACCAGACAGGCACGCGACTCACGCTGCTGCAAGAGTAAACGGGGGTTCGAGACATCATGCAGGCACACCACCCACGCTGCCGTAAATATTCCACTATTTTCGAAGCTTCCAGACAAGCAGCCCACTCACGACGTTCGAGAAGTCCAAGATGACGCGTCGGGTTCGCTCTTCGGAGGCCGGTAGGAGAGACACAACCGAGGAAGACCGAGCCATGCGGCCGGAGAACCCGGGGCTGCTGTCGCCGCCGCCCGTCATGCCGGTAAGGCCTGGGCTGTCAGCGAACGACCCGCCGCCGTTTGCCCAGAGCTGTTTCCCAGGTCCACACGAGCGAGGGAGGAGAGATGGAACACCGAAGTGAGGGCGGGCAAGGGAAGTTCGATGACTGCGGATCAACACGGCGACATCCTTCCAAGGTTAGGATGCAATACACGCTCGACACGCAATGAGTGCCACGTTCTTTTCTGCCCACAAGAATACATTTTTTCTCTTGCTTATTGGGTCTACGTCTCTCTATCTGTCCGCGTACTCCCTTTTTCCTCCGACACCAACAACCCCTTGGTTAATGGGCTGCCAGTACAGTTCTCACCGACATGTATGCCTGCACAGCACCCTCTCCGACCCTCGGTTCCTCCCCAAGGCTGGTCCCGCGCGGGCGTCGCACGCGCACCCCCGCCGTCGCTCTGCCGCTGCTGCCCACGCCCCCGTCTCCGCCGGCCCCTCCTTCCTCCATCGCCCCATAGCCAGTCGTCTCTCTTGCGGGGACCGAGAAGTTAGCCCCGCCGCTACCACCGTCGTGTCTGCTGCTCTCATTTGCGAGCACAGCCGGCTGCTGCTTCTCAGTCTCCTGCTGCTCGCTCGCGCCTGGCAGCAGGCCGCCGGCTCTGTGGAAGGGTCGACCCCGGCCGCCGCCGGCCCCAGGGACCCCGGTGCTCGTCGCCGTCGTCGTTCCCCCGACTGACCTTGTTCTCGCGAGCGACTGGGCTAGGGGTGATGATATTCCTTGGGAAGAAGGCTCCCCCTGCTGCTGTGAGGATGTCGACGTGTGCTCCCGCAACGACTGACTCCGCGCCGGGCTGCGCCAGTGCAGGGGTGACGACCCGGGCAGTACCGACGAGGCCGCAGCCGCTGCCGCTGCCGCCGTTGCCGACGATGAACGGTAGACCGCTCCGGATCTGTTGAACACCGGGCTCAAGATGTCTCCGCGGGGGTTCATGGCACCTGCAGCAATGGTCCCTTCGCTGCTGGGCTTGACGAGCGCGGCTGTTTCAAGGTATGACTGCTGCTGCTGCGGGTTCCCGACAGTTCTGGTGGAATGGTTGCTGTCGTCGTAGACGTTGCCGAAGATGCCGGTGGCGGGAGCCCCGGCGTTGGGGGTCGGGGGGGGGTCGGTGCCCCACACAATGCGGTCCTTGACGTCTGACAGAATCTTGACGGCGGAGCCGAAAAAGATGTAACCCTGTGTGCGTTGCACGTGCATTTTTTGTGAGAGGCGGGCGCGCACATCGTACATGTGCAAGTGTCCGACCGGGTACAATGCCGGGAAGGGGGGAGTGTGAAAGGTCCGAGGAAAAGTGTACGAGTGAGAGGGGTGAGGGGAGGGGGGGAAAGGAGCAATGAACTACCAGAGAGAGACAAATCGATCGACAGAGAAGCACCAATGTGCCGTTGAAAAGAGCAGATTTAATCCCTCGCAAGTTGTGAAGTTGAGGCATAGATAGAGGGAGAGAAGGGAGAGGGCACGAGGCGGTGGCCGCGTGAGCGGGAAAGACATCAAGATCGTGTCTCAACCACACACAAACAAAACAAACGCGCGAGCTTCTTTTTTGTTGCATGTACCTGTAACTCGAGGACCACCGTCTGCTCCTGGTGGGCCTTGAGGATCACGCGTTCCTCGAACGTCCGCATGACGGTGCTCGCCTTCACACGCGCCGTCATCACTGTGGGAACCTGGGAACATCACAAACAAAAAACGCCGCACAAAGAAACGGAAAAGAAGGAGGGGAAAGAACTACCTGTTGTCCTTTCGGAGATGAACATCGGAACAGAAGAAGGAAAAGCACGCAACAATTGAAAAAACGCGGAAAAGAAGGAGGAAAACGACCGTTCTTCCTTTCGAGGGCGAACCTCGAAACAAAGACACACAGACACAACAAACGGAAAAGAAGGGCAAAATGACCTGTCGTTCTTTCGGAGATGAAAGGGTGCCACGGCAGCTACGAAAATAAACTACCAAATGTTTTTGAGTCGCGTAGAAAACGATCACAAACAACATTTTTCCTCTGTACCACACGGAGGAATGGTCGTGAGGTGTGAGGGGGGTCACAAAACGACCCACAAAAGAAGGTGTCGAGATCAACACGAAACCGACAACAAACGCCACCGCAGCATTGGGTGCAACTCCTGTTTAGTTTGTCTGTATGCGCGCCCCTTGTCTCCCTGAGCAGCCACGTGTTTTTCCAAGAACAAATATGTGAGAGAGACAGGGGAAATAGAAGGAGGGAGATAGCTAGATAGAAGTACACGGAGAGAGACAGAGACAGAGACAGGGAGAGGGGCAGAGAGAGGGAGAGGAAGAGATGCGAAAGACTAGGTGCCTGCGTCACCCTGCCCTTCCCACGGCATCTACCAACCAACCCACAACCCATGCCATCTTATCACCTGCGCGTACGTGACGGTGAAGCTGAGCGCGGCGAGCACCAGCCCCGCGACCATGCCCTTCTCCACGCCCCAGGCCTGGATCGAGCAGAACGTCGCCAAGCACACCAGGTACTCGGCCGGCATCATCCTGCCCCCCCCCCCCCCGCACCACGTGGAAAGACAACAAGCACCCGACAACAAATCAGTATCAAGCACTCGACGAGCGTGCAGCAATTTTCGGCTGCGCGAAAGAACGCGAAAGAGACAAGTTCAAAGTTGAAACCAGCCAGCAGGAAAGACACCCGACGCTGAGGGGGGATAGCTGAGGGTGTGCGGGGGCATCAATTTGCGAACCCACCCCTATACAGAAAACCACAGAAAATTCGGCAAAACACAGGACAGGAAAACAAACTGTACATCAACTCATACTTCAATGCATAAGCGGGGCACGGCCCCTCTACCACACACCGAACGCCACCTGATCCAGAGCTCGGCCGCCTTACCCTGCCTTGCCGTCGCAGTACGCCACGCAACTCTTTACCAATACCCCCAACCTAGAACGTGACCACAAACCCATCAGCAGACTGAGGTTACCTTCGATCTGGCTTGCCGAAGGCATTCAACCATTCTTGCCGCGACGCACAACTCCCTACCAACATCCCCAACCCAGATCGATCTGACCACGCACCCAGCAGAACTGAGCTACCTCGATGTGGATCGCCGCGACTTCATTCTTTCCGCCGCGCAATCTCTCTGCCATCACCTCCAACCCAGATCGATCTGACCACACGCCCAACAGCACACTGAGGGTAACCTCCAGCAGGCTTGCCGAAGCCATTCAACCATTCGCCCGGCAAACCTTTCCAAACACCACCATCCCCAACCCAGAGCTGACCACACGCCCAGCAGCAGACGGTCTCACTTCAATCTGGCCTGCCAGAGCCACTCGACCATGAGGTCGACCGCGATGAGGATCAGCAGGGAGCCGAAGAAGCACCTGGGCAGGAAGCTGATGACGCTGGCGGGCGATGCCCGCCACGGCGAGGAGCATTACAAACGATATCGCGCTCGCCGCTCGTGTGTCCACGCCTTCCTCGGTACGGGCGACGAGTGTTGGCGGGGATACGGGTTAAAGAGGCAGGGTGGCAGGCTTCGATCACAAAAAGTATTCGGATCATGAGGCGTGCAGCGGCAAAAAAAACACGAACTACAGCAGTACAACATTGTACCTACAAAACTACACAAAGCACAATTGGCGATCTCACCAACACACCTGGAAGAAAACCGGTGGTATTGTTAGCGGGATGTGCGTACACCGTTCTAACCAGCATCTAAAACTACAGCGTGCTCCCCTACGAACCCTTCGTTGAAGGGGCAAAAAACACAAAATCAGAGCAGCTGCTACCAGCGAGGGCAAGGGGGTCGTCGAACGCAAGGTGGTACCCCCCCCCCTCCCCGCCCTTTATCGGGCGCTTAAGCCAGTTAGAACAAGGGGCTTATCGTATGGTTGGATAATGTATGGTTAAGGTATACTCCACAGTCCATACGTTCCACATGTATAGGCACTTTAACACCTATATAACGAGGTGTTAAGGAATTGTGTGTGACCGCGTGAAACCCTGAGTATGTGGTATACAACAGAGCATCACAAAAAGGTTTTACTATGCACTACAACAAGGTCCTACATACATACGTATCACACATACAATACAAGAGGTGTACAAGTTTAAATACAACAATACCAATCCTATACAATAACAAATACATAGGTTATAATATACCACACTAATTCCCCTATTGAAGTACCATATATGGTACAAGGTTCCCCTGCGGGAGTTAGGTGATTTTACTCCCGGGGGCGACGCAAGACATGGCCAATCAATGTCATCGCGGTCGCATGGTTGGGTCGTCGGACGTTCGGTAGTGCCGGTTTGCGTGCAACCTGCATACTAATTTGCCTGGAAATTGAATCATGTGCGGGGAATTTTGTTTTCTTCTCCCCCGTCTTGTGACTTTTGGCTTGTCCGCGAGTGCGTGCTTTTAAGCTAGCGGCGTCTTTTGCTGCAAGTCCTACTGCTGTATCTCTTGCGTTTGATCACTTACTCATCTTGTGTGATCGTGTTGCCCTTGGTCTGTGGAATTTTTTCACGCCAACACCAAGAACGGATCAAAGAGACGCTCAACGTGCTCAAGAACAGTCACAGACGTATGTAGATTGCTCCCGTACACAACTTCAATATTTGAATTTTTCGATTGTTCGGAATACCTATTTAGATGACCGCTGCCAGAGTTGTGCGAGAGGATTTTTGTGTCACGTGGTGTGTTCCCATGAGCAACATCAAGAGTCTTGGTCCCCGCTGCGGGTACGCATGCGCCAGTTGCTGTGTGGTGGAACAATCACAGCAGCTGTGTGGGTGCGTGGGCGAGTGGCGCGGGGCGCGGGGCTACAAAAAAGTTATGTTGTCAGTTTTCATTCCGTTCGAGGAGGCTTTTATGGTACGAAGAGCCAGGCCCAGCGACTTTAGGCGACACGCGCACCACCGGTGTCTCGCGAGCCCCATACGTCACGGGAAATGTACCGACGGGTCCTCTGCGTGCCATGCTGAAGAAAGTGCGAGAAAAAACGTTGTCCCAGCAGAGAAAAAAGAACGCCCCCACCAAAAAAGTTGAGATGCTACAAACATATGCATATATAGCATGCCCCCCTCCCTGATCTGACCCTAGTCCAGTTTCGAGCAGTGCTTCAAGCCCTGCGCAACCAACAACTCCATTTGAACACGAACAACCTTGCCAAGTACGATCAGCCAAGTACGATCAGTATTCTCAAATGCATTAAATGCACATGCACCTACCTGCCCGCAGGTTAAAGATGGTCTGGCTGAAGATGTAGCTGCCCGTGAAGCCGCCGAACAGTCCCGAGATGACGTTGGACCACCCCACCTTGTGTAACCGTTTTCGTAAGGGACGAGAAAACACAGCGAAGCAAAAACGCAAACGTCGACAAAGACAAACACGCCCGAGCAACCGGGGCAGGGATCAAAAAGACGGGAATTCAACGTGCGCAGCTGCGCCCCCCCTCCCCCGACCACGGTGAATCTGGAGGCTGGGTCCTCCCGTCTATCCCCACCCCTTGAGTGCAACGCACTGCTCCTTCCACGAGGGGTGTCGAACTAGAACTTGGTCGCACCTATCCATAGTATTGCCTACCGGTTGGAATCGTGGTCAGGTGCTGTGAAAAAAACACATGAACACATGCCCACCAAGGCCCGAATCAGCGGCGGCGCGCGCGAGGGCGCCCGGAATATGTCGAAAACCAAACGAAAGAAAAAATCTGAGATAGACCGAAGCTCTACCGATCGCAGGATGAGAAAAAAGCCGAAAAACACGCACAACATTACCTTGCAAAAACCCGTTTAACCCCTTCGGGTCTAGCTCTTTTTTCTCTCGGTCAACAAAAAAAAAGGAGGAGAGAGTGCGGGAGAGAGAGACAGAAGTACAGCAAAAGAGACCAGTGTACTTCCGTAGACGCATCAGCTATCTCCACCCATAGGCCATGAGGGCAGCCCGCGATGGGACGGTGGGCACAGACAGGGCCATAGAAGGGTTGATGCGTGGTCGCGGTGCGACCGGTAGGTCAGGTTAGGCAGACCTCTCAATATCAGTCGTCAAGCCGCCTGAACTACCATATTCAAATGATCAGTGAAAATGATCAGTGAGAGGGCTTGTAGACCCATAGCTGGTTCTTCTTCTCTGTCCCCACCCCAATGTGAGCCCTGCAGGCTCATTACAGCTCCTGTGATGTTCCCACAATTCCCACAAGCACGCAGGCACACACCAGCACACGCCTACCTTTCCATCAGTGGCTCTCTAGGTTTGGTGGTATGTGTTGGGCTATGATGATAGTGTAAGTGTTACTAGCTGTATGTTGGACTCGTCTATAATGCTGCTGCTGCTGCTGCTGCTGCTGCTGCTACTGCTGCTGTGTAGTATTGCTGCTGACACGATGACTGCTGGATCTTGGTAGTTTTACGAATTTCAAATTTGGAGAATATTCAACATACCACGACGTCCTCGCCTGGTTGGGCTTGATTTGCCCCCTTACTGCTGTCCTCTTGTCTTTAGTGTCTTCCTAGATTCGGGCGAGGGCATGTACGTGGAGCTATTGATGTGTGTCTCTGTGAAAGGATATGGGGAGAGATTCATGGTGGCATTCGAATTTTGGCCGTTCCATGGATCTTGATGTTACCCGCTGGCACAAAAATCTTTTCATTGGTCACCAGGTAGCGCGGTCGACGCGAATAATAAAGACACACCTACCTATGGACTTGTCAACACTTGGCGTGGAGGGATACAAGGCGGCAACTTCATGGCATGCCACAACACCAGCATGTGCAAATGATCCATCAATGATTTGTCAGGACGCCTGTAGACCAAAAGGGGTAAGACCCAAACCTTCCTAGGCTGAGCATCGTACCAGACGCAAGAACAGGAACAATCACCGAGAGCGCAGGCACACCCACGCAACAAGCCTCTGACTAAATACAAACCAGGGGAGCTACGCCGAATTAATGGCCCCCAACTCAACACGCCCAGCAGACCAACATGCATTGACTCTCTCTCTCTCTCTCTCTCTCTCTCTCTCTCTCTCTCTCTCTCTCTCTCTCTCTCTCTCTCTCTCTCTCTTGTTGGCAACTCACCGTCTGCAGCTCCCCGTTGAAATCCAGTGGCTTGGCCATCTCCATCTCTATGGCCGCGATATCCAAGCAGCTCGAGAACGCAACGACCACGATCATGGCCAACAGGTTGGGCACAACCTGGGAGAGAGGGGGGATGCGCGTGCGGCGGGGGGGTACGTCCACATACTTATGTGCCGACGACCAAGTTTTCCTGTTTCGGGTGCGTGCGTAATCACAACCATGCTCTTGGGGGGCTCCACACTCATGGTAGATACCATAGTCAAATTCAGGAAACTATCAAGATACGACCCCAACCAAAGCATATCCCAAGCCAACCCAAACTAAGCCAACCAAACCCAAACCAAACCAAACCAAACCAAACCAAACCGAACCAAACCAAACCAAAACGACCTCCACAGCGGGAGGGACTTTTCCGCGTGTGTGCCCCGGATTGTATCTCATTCATGAGCCCAATTCACTTCAACAGCAGGCAAGAAGAGCATCGGGGTAAAGCTAGAACAGCGAGTGAACCAGTTACAACTGACTGGATTCCCCCTCCCCCGAAACCCTCGGGACTCACCCTCGCAAACGCTCCCCAGTGGATGTCTGCGAAGGAAAAGTAGTCCCACGCGTGATTGAGGGGGAGCATCGGGGACGCTGCGCTCACCCACCCGGCAGCTCTCGCCTCCTGCAGCAGAAAAAAATCGTGATCAAACAGAAATGAAACGCTGTACCGGCAGGAGGGGCGGAGGATTGTTCATCCACAGGTGTGAGTTTGGGCCAATCACGCTGAAGTTCTGGGCACGGTACATTAATAAGAGGCCAGAAGGCAGCGCTCAATCGAACGCACAGCGGCAGCAACAGCAGCAGCAGCAGCAGCAGCAGCAGCAGCAGAGATTGTGCGGAACGTTAGCGATCAAGGGGAGGTCGAGGCGCGTGCACTCGCGCATACACAGAGAAGTTCGCCGGCGTAGCGCGGGAAAAAAAAAAATGGACAAGATACACACGAACAAAGAACGTGCGTGCGTAACCGCCATGATGCTGGAACAATGCTAACAAAAGGGAAAAAACACTCATGGACAATAACAAACTCACTTCGAGAGTCGTCCCCGTGGCCCTAAGGAACGCGAAGAACGTTCCCAGGAACGCGGCCATAAGCAGCGGCAGCGTGGTCGGAGAGGGGAAGCGCCGGAGGGAGAGGTACATCACCAAGCCGGCCAGAACCGCCGGCAGCACTAGCAGGAGCGCCTCTCGGGTGGCCAGGACGCCCAAGTCTCCCATGCCGCTGATCTCCAGCTGTTGTTGGTGGTGCATGCACAGCAAATGGTTTTTCCACAGACGATAATGGTCGTACTGGAGGGAAAACGGGGCGCGAAAACTACGCTCCCGGCTTCACAGACATTACAGGGCGGTGTGTTTGCTTCATTCTACCTCTACACACATTCACGACGCAGCACTATTTGGAGATGTGTAGATAGCCGCAGCGAACATCACGACCTCAAGCGAACATCACGGCCTCAAGCGACCATCACTGCGTGGCTCTCATGTCGCAGCAACCTGCGAGCAACAATCGCTTGGGAAAAGCAAAAAACGATTTTTCGGTACTTGTAGGGGGCAGCACGAGAAGTGCGGCGGGGGGGGGGAATCTTGCCACTAAGAATCTTCGCGATAATGTCAATATGCACTGCCAAAATACAGCGTTGGTCCAACACTCGTTTTGCGTCTCTGCGCCGCTGAAGACGGAAGGATGGCGTCGTACACACAGAGCTACAGCGTGAGAGAGTGGGGTGGTTATATGTATACACGCAATTTGAAAAATAATTGGTGAAAAAACAAACGTAAATGAATTCGGAAAGGCACACCCCTTTTCTCCCTCCCCCCCACTCTCTCTGTACCTGCCTGTCTGTCTGTCTATCTGTCTGTCTGCTTGTCTCTCTGTCTGTCTCCCTCACCGCGGACGCGAACGCCAAGCCCGCCTCGCCGCAGAACCACCCGATGTAGGCCAAGTAGCCGCCGATGACGGGCATCGGAAGGTACTGCACCACGCTGGCCAGCCTCAGCCTCCCGAGGACGACGAGTGCCACGCCGAGAAGACCGGTGCACGTGCATAATACGAAGCAAGCTGTCGAAAAATATAAATACAAGACAATTAATATGGCCGGGAATGAGAATAAGAATCTAAACACAAGAACACGAGGGACGATACTACCAGAGGAGACACAAGATACCACCCCCCCGACCGGTTCAAATCTCCGCTCCTCCAAGAAGAAGAGGATGCCAACTCGTATTGATGCGTTTTCGGAAAAATCTCGACAGGATGGCTCCAACGCCGCCATTTTCGGCGTTGCCACTCCTTCTGCTGCGGAGCAACCAAGCCTTGAAAATCGTGTGGTACCTCGTGTCACCTCCGGTAACCCCCCAAAAAAAAGTGAGAAAAGTGGGGGGTAAAACCAACCCTGTAATTCAAAACATAATCAACCCTCTTGGGCGAGTCAAGATAAATTGTACGAGCCGAGAGCTGTGCCGGGCGAGGGACGATGACGGCAGCACGCAACTCTATCGCAAGAGGACTACCACGTCGACAACCATCACGGTGAGGTGGGCAGTCAGATTTCTCCCACAACAACATTGACTTGGCGTCACGGCCCTCCCCCTGTGGGGGGTCACACATGTGAAGCAAGCGCTACGGCTGGTTTGCTCCCGCCGAGGCGATTTGGGTGTGGGCCAAGCGACTGGGTGATCATAGCGTTAAGGAACGCGACGTCCCCCAAATCGTGTGAACCAATGATCCTTCGAGATGAACGATACGTTGGTACTAAAAGCCTAAACACGATCACGTGCACGAAGTGTGTTCTCATCCAGAACCCCCCCCGCTCCTCGAGTGTTTGCGGAGGACGGCGATGTCATGCAACGACCGTAGGTGCCATGACTCAAGATATCACCCCCCCCCACCGAACCGACTTTCAAAGCTCGATTACTCCACTACCATGGCCACAGCTACTTCCCCCCTATTTTACCTTTACCACAACGTCTTCACCCAGGCGGCATACATGCTACACGCCGGTCCTCATCCAGCCCCTTCATCCTACTCCCTCCCCCCTGCCAGGTAGGACAGCGCAACGAGGGTTTCTTGAGGCTCTGCGGTGGCGCCCCAGAGCTCTCGGCGGGCGTGCTGCAAAGAACTCAAGTAGAAGAAAGAAAACCGCGGTACTCGCCATGTCGCCGCTAGCCGCAACGCTTGAAAAACGACGGCTGACACACTGCCGGCGGCGGGGGGGACCTCCGTACAAAAACAACTACTGCAGACACTGCATTAGCAAGAGACTCACAGGTGCTAAGCATACCAGCCTCATCCACTCCTTGCTCTCTAGAAAAGGCTACCACCGCCGAGGAGATTGCAGACAGGAATATCAGACCGGCGTCCTGAAAGCACGAGCAAACAAAGGGCAAAAGGAGGAACGGCAACGTCGTCGGGGGGGACCGAAAGCGAAGATCAGATCAACATTGGGGGGGCGGAGAGGTATGCGCGGTATGACCGAGGCGGCGTTTCTACTCGCGTTGTACGGGCTTGACATTGAGGTTGCCGTCGTCAACGCCCATCGACTCTGGAAGATAACACACCAGCAGGACGAGGGGTGCCCTCATGTAAACGGATGCCGTGGTCGGCAGACCATAGACCTTGCCTATCTCCAATGCCGGGACGCAGCGATATGTCGGGTTTTCGCCGGCCCAGGCTTCCCTATGATGAACCAAACATCACCCTTGCGTTTTCTGTGCCAAACCAGATCCGCCATGGGTTGGGTATGCGCGGCATGAACGAGGCGGTGTATCTACTGCGGAGTATATTGTACGAGTTTTTTGTTGAGGCGATGCTGATGGTGCCGTTGTGCACAACCCATCGACTCAGGAACATGGCACACAAGCAGGACCTGGGGGAGGGGAGGAGCCTGGAAAAAATACCGCAGCAGAAACACAAACATTCACCTATAATGCCAAACACCGATTACTGCTGTCTTCGGACTCCAACCCCCCGCCACGTCGTGTTTCACCTGAACCGACCCAACGGCGAACTTGAGGCTGGACAGGGTCCCGAAGCAGGCCATGTGAACGGCACCGCTAAACATGACCAATTTCACGAGCCTGGCGCAGGCAAGGACGTGCAACAACAAGGTTTACCATTGAGAGGGGGGGGCTGCGGGCGGTACAACGTGCTTCTGGTCCGAATCAAAGGTGGCCATGCACTTCATTTGCCAAGGGTGAGGAAGGCGGGAGGTCCGCGGCGAGGGCAGTGGCTGCCTCGACCCTCCAGATGCGCGAGGGTGGTGGCGGGGATCTTCAATAGGCGCCTGACTTAGCTTTGCTGCAATATTTTCGGCGTAAAGTGAATGCCCTCACGGTGGTGAGGGCGATGGGGGATATGCAAGTTGATATTGCGGCATACAAGCCATATCCTTGGCGAGACTCGCTAGGAGGGCTGGCTGGCGGGCTGCCGTAGCGTGCGCTCGGAATCGCACGTGGTGCGTCGCGAGCGGGAAAAAGCGCGGATGCGGGGAACGCTCCCGCCCCCCTCTATGGGCGTAGCGCTGATCTGAAAGCACTACGTACGCGAATGCTTACCTGGGAAGATGGGGCGTAAACGCCGGATCCCTAAAAATCATTGCGGCAAAGCTCACCTTCGAATTGGTCAAGGGCAAGCGAAGGGGGGGGGGGTAACGGGGTCAGGGCAACGGACCAAAGCCTAAGCCGGCGGCGGCAGGCTAGTCTCAAGCTGGAAGCTAGACGCGGGTGGTTCAAGACGACACACTTGGTGGCCTTGGAAGCACCTCTCGTACTTATTTGGCTACCAATTGCCTTGGGTGGGGTGTGCTAACTGGTCGCTGTAATTCTTAGATGTGTAGTCGAAGGGGTGTGTTGAAGTCTGTGAGAGGGAGAAAGCCGGCGTGTGATTCTTTCTAGCACAAGGCAGCATATCACCAATTGGTGATGTATGAAGGGGGGGCCACGCACGGACCAAGTGTGTACGAATCATCCCGCCCAACCCCTCCGCTTCTCCTCCGGCACTCCCTACCACGAGTCAAATTCGTCTACCCTCGTGTGCATCTTACGGCAAAAAAGACGTCCCGTGAAGACGACTCCATCTACGGAGAACATCTTGGAGGTTCAACCGACTTGCTCTCGAGCCGACACATGCGGGGACACCTAAAAAGAAGAGGCCACAAAAACACTGGCTACGGAGATAGACGCCAATCGCCTAAGCATCCCTCCCTCCCCTCCCTCAAGGAGCGGGTAGTGTGCACGTCAAACGTTTCTTTCACCAGTGAACTATCTCTCGCCTCCCCCGCCCCGATACTCCCTCACCATCACGGGCGGCAAGAGGATGCCGTTCACCATGCCATACGCTAAACCTCGGACGACGGACTCCGGAAGAAGCGGCGGCCTCTTCTTGTCCGCTGCTGGCACCGCCGCGGTCGTGCCCGCCGTCCCCGGCATCCTCCCGCCCTCGCCATCGTCGAAACCCGCCACCCCAGATGCCGTTCCGCTTCCGGGATTGCTGCGCGCATCCAATCGCGACGGCGACGTGGTGGTTTGCCCTGCGGTCGCTTTTGCTTTTTCCCGCAGAATCGGGACCGTTTCCTGCCGTACGGTTACACGGGGAAGGAGGTTTGAGTCCCCGTGTTAGGCGGACGACCTGCGATAAATCTTGTGAAGATGAAGTATTTCGGCAAGGGACGGAGGGAGGGAAGGAGGGAGGAAAGAGGGCGGCCCTCGATTCCGCGGCAATCTACGCGCGCTCTCGCGTACGCCTTGCACGGCGCGTCTACATACATAGACGGTGCCAACAATACCAACGACAACCAACTGCAGTTGAAGCTGATCACATGGCAAAAGTTCCTCCCGCAATCGTCTGGCTTCTTCGGAGCTTGCGCCGATGCCCTACCTACCGACTATTATGGTAGGTCGGGTTCAACGTCAGTGCACCGTTTGTATCCTACCGAAAATAAAGTTGTCTCTTTAGCTGTTATAATATCCACCCATCGCTGCTTCCACCACTGACTATATTCAACATGAATCGCTCCCTATTATCGAATGTCCGGCCTCAACCATTTCTCGTCTACAGTTCGCACCGGGCACAGCAGCAACACACTTTTGCTGTAAGCCAAGTCTGGTCGTATGCACCCGCATGTTGCGTCGTTGGAGTGTGCGCTCTTGCCTCTGCTAGTGATGCTTCGGATTCAGACTCAATTCAAAGGGGACGTTATAGACAAATCACCGAGCAATTAGTATTACTTGCAGATAAATCTTTTGCACTAGGGGTATTGCCGGTAAGCTATTGTTGCGCCCGAGCTGGCTCCTGTACAAAAAACATGGTTGATGCTTTGTACGGAGAACGACCACACAAAACTAGGCTACCAATCGTCACGATAAACCAACGCACGACAAAGCCTCGGCATGTATGTCGAATCTTGCGTCACCCTCGGGAGGCTTGGCTTTCTTATCACCCACGTCCCGCGAAGGAATACCGTAGGTGACATGACAGAAGATATCACACCCCCTGGCCCTTTTGTCAAGGCTCGATTACTCCACCATGGCAGAGAGAGAGCGGCGGTGCGGCGTTGTTTCCCGCCGTCTCGTCGAGAGTTTTCCACAATTGTTGGATTTATACATCCTCTTCTGTCGTGTGGAGTAATCGAAATCGGTCCAGGGGGTGTGCTATCTTGTGTCACCTACGTATGCACGTACGTGTGCAGGAACAGAACCAAATGCACGCGTACGTGCATGCACCAGCCCAAGGGGCATACTGTAGACTACTGCTGTAGGCTATTTTTGGAAAAAGTCGATATCAGTCTACAACACGATTTGTTCTCCTCATGAACACCCCCCCAAAACGGCGAAGAGGCAATGCAGTAAAACACGACGAATCTATCGTCGTCACCACAAGCGGATCTCAATACCATGTAAACTGCCAGTCAGTGAGGAAATGCAGCAAAGATCGCGCGTGCACAGCAGTATCTATCGCGAACCGTTGGGTGGTTATGCGGCACAATTCCTCAAATAAATTTCTTGCGCAGCAGTTGCTTGGCAGTTGCTTGGAGGACACGGGGGCCGCGCGAGTGGAAAGGGCGAGAACGTGCCGTTTATGCTCTGCTCTCTAATCTGCTAATCTCCGCTCAGTTCATCAGCTCTCTCCAAAAAGGTGGAACGCAGCCAGCCAGCCAGCGCACTCTTCAATGGTCTGCGTTTCTCTTCTGTGCAACCCTGTGATCTTCATATAGGGAGTGAAGCTTGAACGCTGCTGCGACTCACCCCTTCCTTCTCTAGGCGTCTTCTCGCGGTCCCAAACATCTTTCTCGGGGTGCGAGGATATGTATGCCGGAATGGCGACCGGTGCAACGGTGCGTGAGTGTGCTGTGGACAGCGGGTTCAATCATGCACATTGCACTCTGTGCGATGCATACCCATGCTCATATCTTGGAATCCCAGCCGGAGCGCCCCTTGCCCCCACAAATTGCCGCAAATTGCCGCAAAACTTGCACACAGCAGACAGCAGTGTTGCGCAGCAGAGCAGGGAGGAGAGGCAATGGCCGCCATTCAGGAACACGAAGCCGGGGTCTTGGGAGTGATACGTCTAGAGCCCATTGGAATCAAGCTGGGCGCGACAGGTGCGTGTGTGTGGTGTGCGATGATGTATGCAAATAGTTTTGTTCGCCACCTGCCGTTGTGCCACGGCCCAATATCGGTGACAAACGAACTGAATCAATACAACCAAAAGGGAGCGGGGTACATATGACGACCCCCTACATATCGCTCTGATGAACACGTACAAAGCAAGCATCCGAAGCCCATACGGCACTATAGAATCAAACGGTGGTGGTGTGTGTGTGTCTTTTGTTTTGCCAAACATGTGGCTCTATGATGTATCTGCTGCTGTATACAAAGGGCGACCTCGGTGGACGAATCCAACAAACGTCCAATGCCTCTCTTTGCATAGAAGTAAGGGCAGCATTGCTGTAGGCTAGGTTGGGTAAGGTACGGGCGCGTTTGGTAACGAACGTGGAGTCGTACCGAGCTTTACACCAAGGAATCTGGCGAGGTACACGAAGTCATTCCAAGCGCACCAAACAACAGTATCAGCAAGTGCTTTACACCCCATCAATGTGAATCATACAGCGTAGTATTTAGTAGACGTACAGTAGATATGCATATTGCTGCTGTTGTAGTACATGTAGCATGGAGGCGTGCCCTCTTGTCTCTGCAAGGCCCCCCTCTCGGGAGTTAGGTGGCTTGCCTCCCGGGGGCAACGCAAGGAGTCATCATGGTTGCATCGCTGCATCTCAACGTTCGGTGGTGCCGGTTTTCCGTGCAACCTGCAGAATTTGCGTCACGTGCTTGCATGTGCGGGCTTTTTTTCTTTCTCACAGCAGTGACTGTTCGCGCGGGCACTGCTGTGTACGCTAGGGGCATTAGCCGCAGATCCTAATGCTGTGACACGCTGCGGTTGATCGCTCGGTCTCACGTATCTGTGCCGTGTTGTTGGCGTGTGGGAACCCATGTGCGTTACGCAGGAATCAAATGTAGAAGTTGTTTTTATTGTTCGGAATGCCTCCCCGCAAAATAGAGCCAGTCGTGGGGACTACAGGCGTCGATTGCACGTGCCACCGATGCCCGGCGGTACTCGGGCATGCGCAGTGTTGTACCGACTGGGCTCGTGCGTGCCCATGAGAAGGAATCGTGTCAAAAGACTCGCTGCCGTCAGAGAACGATACGCCGAAGCACGAAAAACATCGAAATGGTGCATGTCAGAATCGTCCACAAGTACAGGGAATCCCTCTCTTGTGAGCACAGCAGTGTCATCAACGGGTGTGATGCAAGATGAAATAGAGCAGGCAGGCAGGACCAACCCACAGCTGGCTGCTAGCTGTGGTGTGAGGTTCCCACGCTCAACAGCTCACATATTTGACGTGTTTGTGACTCGAACAGGCCGGCGAACCTCAACGAACGAACCCCAAAAGAAAGATTTTCCAGAAGGTCTAGTCTTATTACATGGTGCCATCTGCCAACCGCAACTAGAGAGTGAACTACCCAACTAGACGTTTTCACCAAACCTAGGCGTCTTGGCGGAATTTGAAGGGAGTCGGCAAGGGACGTTCGTACCGCCCGCGTGCACAAAGGTTTCATAGCAGCCGAGGGAACGGGGCCGCCGCCGGGGTGGGGGCTCGATGTATGCATGGAAGGTTCCAAATTTCAGTATGGAAAGTTCCAAATGCCAAAGTTTTTTAAGTGATGTTGGGGTACTTGGATACAAGATCCGATCTGGAGAGTACGTGTGGGGGGTGGAGGTATCTACTGTGGGTCCAAGTGCGGGGCCCTTCGAGAGAGAGCACATTGGACAGCACGCACACATGTTCACTGCTCTTTGTCTATGTTGTGCTGGAAGGAGCACTGTTGTGTGTAACAATCAAGGTTTATGCATCGGTCCTGCGTTAACTTAGTCCCCAGACATGATTCATACTACCGTGGGTGGGCACGGTAGCCTCCGTGGGTAGGCACGGGGGCCACAAACAAGGGAAGGAGAAAAAAGGGCGTACTTGCTGTAGTCAAGTGAGTCCAAGAAGTAGTTAATCAAAATCTAATTGAATGCGCACAAAACGGCCTGTTCTACATAGATAGCTCTCCCGTTGAGCCTGTTGTACCCAGGAGGGGTATCACTCGGTACCGTGGTGCATTCAAACGTGCATGCGTATGAACAGCAGGTGTAGTTTAACGGTATGCACCCTCATAGTCTAGATGTTATAATCCATGGCGTGTATGTTGGACGTCATATCATGGCTTGGTTTCGCAACGGACAAAAGGACTCAGAAACATGGATTGTATGCGCCGTGCTCCGGCCACGACACGTATATGCATAATATCAACGTACAAGCAACGCAGTAGCAATAACACCGTCAACAACAACAACCGAACAAACCGCAAGCAGGGATTTCCAGTGCGTACGACGATCAGTACCCCCCGGAGCTGGATGGCTGGATGACCACCGAGGAGTGGTTCGAGTGTATCGGGAGAATAAACAGGTGAGCACGCCTGCCTGCTGCCATTATAAGACGAAACCAAGCGAGGGAGAAAAATCGTTGTCGCGGCGGCGGCGGCGGCCGCGCACGACGTGTTTGCTTTACACTACGGCTAGCCAGACCATGCGGGAAGCCTCGGCGACATACTCTCACACACGAGGGCAGCTGCAACGGCAGTGGCAGCAGCAGCCGCAGCGAGGAGCATGGCAAACGGCCGACGGGTTTAAAATTCATGTGCGACGGGCTTCATGTGCAGCTGTCGGCCTGCAGTTTGAAGCGCCTGTGTTATTGTCTAGTTCGCGTGTGGAGCCACGCACTCTCCTGGTGGATACGGCGACTCAGGAGGGTGGCCGTGTGCTGAACGTACCGTGTGTCTCTGAACACGCACACACATACCCGGAGAATAGCTTAGCCACCGCCCCCGCACGGGGTCCCAGTTCATGGCATTTATTAGGTTTTAGTGTTTTCAACCGGAGAGACTGGTGTATTTTCATTGGCCAGCCGATTAGCGCGGTCGATGCTAAAAATAACCCCCCCACACGCGCCGGCAACCGCTTCGGACAGCAGTACAGTAGTGTTACAGCAGGCGAGGGTGAAGTCAGTGTCCCTCGCCCAGCCGCGCGGCGGCTGCTGCTGTTTTCTGCTGCCACCGCCGCTGACGTGGGAGTTTGCCGCTGATGTTTCGACTGTAATGATCCCGCCATGCCCTCGTCCGATGACGACAGTTGGTGTGATTGCTTGCGTTGGTTAGTGCCTACTGGTCGCTCTTTCTCCGTCCCAGCCCCGTCGCTCGACTAGCGTACCCAGGCTTGAGTTTCAGAACTGCGCGCACTCATAACTGTATTTGCTCTTGTTGGCGGTTTTGGGTCGCGGAACGGGGTAGTGCCTTCAGCAACCCTCGTTAAAGGGCAGCAGCACAGCAGGTCCAACAGATTATTTTTTTCGTGGTTGCTCTGGCGTTGTTTTTGCATTGATGCGCCACACATAATCTGTATTTTAGTGCCTGATTCTCTTCGCTGCGCCTCTTCCATTTCCACCCCAACACAGGGCGTTGATGGATCGATTCCCGTGCGGGTTGTGTCGCCTCCAGGCGTACTGCTTCTGTCCCTGCACCTTGGGCCTCTCTCTGCTGAGCATGAGGAAGGAGGCCAAGGAAATTGAGCGAGGTAATTTTGTATGAAGACAGGAGAAACCCAATCGACGCAGCGTTTTCTCCGTTTTCCCCGAAATCATGCATGATAGCAGTATGCGCTGTCGTTTGTATTTGTCAATATGTATTTATTTGGGTTAGAGACCCTTCCTCCCTCCCCCAGGAGCGGTTTTGGGGTTGTACAATGCTGAATTTTCTCTGGCATGCCCCCATGCGGGGGCCTCTCGCTGTATTGCAGCGTTTTCGGCCGTTGCATGTCTCGCTGCAAGACCGACGCCTATCAACGGCCAGCAGCCGGTTAGCTCTGCCGATGCCACCAAACCCGAGAGACGCGAGAGTACCCACCTCAAGCAATGAAGCACCACTAGCGCAAGCACAAGCACGATCACGAAACGAGATAAACGTTGATCATTCACACACCAACACCAACACACGGTGTGAATTCGCACCGTTTTCGGTTGTGCAGGGGTTGGGGAGGTGGTCAAGACCGTAAACCAGAACCTCGAGGCGAGGAGAAGGTCCGTCCGCTTCGGCTTCCACCGCACCTTCTGCTCGGCGTGGGTGCAGGTGGAGTACGGGTCAAAGGTGGGGGCTCCGCCACCACCCCTATTGCCAGCAGCAGCTGGCGACGCAGCACGGGGCTCGTCGCTGGCGGGGTCACCAACTGCTGGCGGGAGTTCGGGCGCCACAGGCCCTAGCCGCGAGCGAGAGCAACCGTACAGCGCTGACGAAGGGGGAGGAGGCCGAAAAGCTGCTCCAACGACGGTGGCGGCGACGACTAGCGGGGCGATGCAGCCGCTCGGAGAGGCGCTGCTGGAGCCAGGGAACGCGGCGGAAGAGGCACGCGGGTATTAGTATACAGGGATACCGGTCCGGCACAGCAGGAAGAAAAACATGTGGTCAAGAAAAAGGGTTCAATTTTTCCCGACCATGAGGAGTTTGGGGTTGAGAAACCCAGGGTGAATCCTGCACCACATCGTCTGTGGTAATTATTTGTCAACGCTCAATGGTCGCCATAACATTCGAAACTTGTCAGTGAAATACGTGAAATCTTTTGTGTATTTGTAGCAGTAAACCAATAAATCCTGACCCTCGACCCGAAACTGAGGTTGCTTGATTGTTCGCCGGTGGTGGTGGTGCTGTAGTGGGAGTAGTATAGTGGCCGTGTTCACTGGCTCTCTCGATGTTCACAACTGCGTGCCTCCTTCTTTGGTGAAGGGACTGCTGTCTCGTTGGACGTAGAGAGACCAAGAAGCGCGAGGACGCGTGGGTGGACGGCAATCCATGGGGACTAACCCTGGAGAGGTACTTTTTGGGAGCGGGGGCAAGTTTTCCATGTTTCCCTGTCCACGCCGAGGATACTTTCAACCTTATTTCACGCGGTGTCTACGTGTATTATTTATAGTTGTCTTCTTCATTCCGAAATTGTGGGAGGGAGTGTGACTCATTAGGATCGGATTTCTCAGTCGCAAAAGGTGCATGACAAATCAACAAGCGTGGTGGCGGTGTGGTTGAAGCCGCGCGAGGGTGTGGGTCGTGTGATGGTCGCGCCAGCGCGTTGATTTTTTTTCAAATGGGTAGTCTAGTCTTTCTGTGTGTGTAATTTTTTTTTTTTTTTTGCCACGGTGCGGCTGGCTGCCGCCGTTCGGCATTTTTCTCGATCGAGTGCTGCTGAGTGGTTGTTAGGGCTGAGGGTGCTGGGTGGGTGTACAGTTAGCGCTTAACCCTCCTAGTACAAGCTCCAATGGGGACACTTTGGGACACAGCACTCAAAGGCATATCCGCACTGTAGTCACCCTAGGCTCCGCTGTATGCAACGTATGTGAGAACCCTTGGTCTATCGTGGTTGGATGAGGTGGTGCGCTGTGTGATATGCTGTGTGGCGCCTCTCCTGGGCCTCTGACTTGCTGTACGCATCTCCCAACCCGCGTGCCCCCCAGTTCGCAAAACTGTACATCGCGTGGTACTGTAAAATTTTGCAGACTTGGCTTACGTATTAAAAGTTTCCCCACGTTTCGGGGACATTTTTGATAGTGAAGCCAAGTCACCCTGTGTCTAGCAAGGAGCTCAGATTCTTTGGAGGGATTGTAGCCCCTCGACCAATGGCTGACAAACATTTTTTCGGCGTTTTTTTATTGCGGAGGGACTGGGCACTAGGAGGGTTAACAACTTGGCAGCCAAGAAATTAAGCCTCGACAAACTACAAATAGTTTGGAAGAACATTTTTGAGCTCGATTAAGAACCCGTAACTAAAACCTAAACCTACACAAGTAGCGGCCCTTCGTAGGATAACCCTAGGAACTACATAAAAACCTCAGCCTCGGCCAACTAGACGTTCTCAAGGGCGGGCGTTCACTTTAAGTGTCTTCTGTTGTTATGTGTCGACGATGGAAGGAGGTGTTGTCGAAGGGTGTCACTGAACGTGGGTCTCCTGCCAGTCAGACGATTTCCCCCCCCCCACCCCCCCCCCTGGCCCGGAGAGAGGATGTCAAGAGCGGGGGCTACAGCAGGACAAGCCCCGCCCAAGCCTCGCATCCAACATTTAATCACGGGGAGGGAATGTACTGCTATAAACGCATGCTGCCCTGGTTAGACCATTGGCCTCGCATCCCTACAATGCCGGGGCAGAAGAATGTACCGGGTTTTCGCCGGCCCAGGCTACTTTGGATTCCCCGGGGGGGGGGGGGGAAAAAAAAACGAGCATTTTTTTTTTTTTCCCCCCCAAACCCCAGAATTCCTTTTTTTTAATTCCGCCAAT